TGTCTAAGGAAGTATCCATATCACAGGGTTTTCTAGTCAGATAGACAAGTGGTGGCTCTGCTTTCCATTAGCAGGTATCTCAATAAGGATGAGGTTGAGCAGGTTTAAAAATATTGAAGAGCTATGGTAATAGCCTCTTGTTGAGAACTGTCTGTTCTTGTCTCTTATGTTCTAGGCAGTGATGCTTCCCCCCCCCCCTTTTAGTTATTAAGAAGTCTCTCTCTGGGGAAGACAGGTGTCCTTGTGATCTGTGTTGAAATATTTGTATTCCATCAGACACGCTTGTGAATATTTTTTTATTCTACTTATGTTTGTCAATCTTTTCCTCTAATGCTTCTGGATGTTGAGGCATATTTAGAATTCCTCTCCTTGACACACTAAGTTAAAGGATATCCCCCTCAACTCTCTTTGGCATAATGTCTTGCCAAGTAGTCCAGGCTAGCCTGAACCTCTGTCTGCTGCCCAGGCAGAACTCAAACTGTGGTCCCTCTGCCTCAGCCTCATTAGACTGTTGCACTTGGAAAAGTTTTCTTGTGTATGATTGTCTTAGTCACTGTTCTATTGTATGAGGAGATGCTATGACCTAGGCAAGTTGTAAAATAAAGCATTTCACTTGGGGCTTGCTTACACTTTCAGCGGGTTAGTCCATGATCATCAGGACAGAGAGCATGGAGGCAGGCGGGCGTGGTGTTGGAGCAATAGCTGAGCGCTCAAGTCAGACAGGCTGTGTCGCCTGATAAAGCCATGCGGTAGACGCTGGGTTTGTACCCAGTACCCACATTAACTACTATCGTGCCTTTTAACCAGTGATACCAGTTCTTAATTGTCACTGTTTAATGAGAAAGAATATCTGAGAAGCTTGAGGTGTTGAGTTTTCATTTGCTTATTTCACAACTTGCAAAAAAAAAAAAAAATCAATGGGGACCCATTTGATTTGCACCACAGTTCTGGGTCATTAGAACTCATCTCAGACCCTCCCAACAAGAGAGTCTAAAAGAAATGGACAGGTTGAGCTGTCTGGATGGTGTCTTCAGCAGTAACTGTTATGAGTTTTTCAAAGGTATTAAATATTAAATAGGAAAGTGCTTTTTCTAGACAGAATGGATGCTGGTTGTAGATTTAAAGTACGAACAGTATGCCCTGGTTACACTTAGAAAGTCCTGGGGTACAGCTGACTACCATTAAATACAAAATGTCCTCCTGTCTCCAGCATCCATTTGCCAGTCACATTGTCATTTAAAAGTAGTCATTTTGAAAGCAGTAATTCACTCTCTACAGTCCCTTTCTTAACACAATTTTCAGCCTGCAATTTAGATGATAGGAAAATTACAACCTCAGTGCACTGTACTATGTGATATAAATGTTATTGCAATTAAGCCTGCTAGGAACACACACACACACACACACACACACACTCACACACACACACACACGACCCAAATACAAACTGGTCCACATTTTAGCCTAAGTAACCGTTTTCTTTACAGGGGAAGAACTTCTGCTAGTCTAGTAGAATATAGGGCCCAAACAGGTCTCAATGAGAAATCAAGTGGCTGGGTCTGAACAGAACTGTAATGGCTGGAAGCAGTCTGAGTTTTACCTTTCATGCTCAGGACACAGGCATATTGCCTGGGTCTGTATCTCAATGATGACTATGAAGCAGCTAGCTATTAAAGCTAGAACATCAGAGTGACCCAAAGTACCTTCCTCTACCTGCTCAAAGACAACTGGGCTCCATGACTGAAAGCCTTCGTCATCTCAGTTCTCCTGCTTTCACCCAGACTCCACAGTGTCTTTCCTGAATCAACAGATCAAAGTCTGTTCCGGGCTATCAAAATCACTCCTCAACTGTCCTCTATGGAGAACACCTTCACACCTTCCCTTCCCACACCAGATTCTCTGTAAATCTAAACATACTCATTTCTGGCTCTAATGCCTTCAAAGGCTCCTGCCAGTGTCACACTGTGGTGGGCTTGGCACTCCAACATACCTTCTACCTGTCCTTTTTTCATGGGTGTGAAAGAATCAGTTTTATTTCATTTCAGGGCACTGATGCCATGTTGAAAAAAGTTAGAAAATGCCATGTGGTAGCTTGAATGAGAAATGGCCCTTCTAGGGTCCTGTGCTGGCTAGTTCTATGCTAACTTGACACAAGCTAGAGTTGTCTGGAAGGAGGGAGCGCCAGTAGAGAAAATGCTGCGTAAGCCTGGGCTGCAGGCAGGCACCTGGAGGGTGTTTTTTTAGAGATTGATAAGGGAGGGTCCAGCCCATTGTGGAGGGGTACCCCTGAAAAGGCCATGAGGAGAAAATCAATAAGTAGCACTCCTCCATGGCCTCTGCATCTGTTCCTGCCCCCGGGGTCTCTGGAAAAGCAGACAGTGCTCTTTACCTCTGAGCCATCTCTCCAGCCCCGTGAGGTTCTCAAGTCTTCCAGTGGACCTGAGCTGGCCCCAGCCCCCATGTCAGACAGTTCATAACTGCCTATAATGCCAGTTCTAGGAGAATCAAATTCCTCTAGTCACTGTGAGCACTTACACATATATTTAAAATTTTAAATAATATAAATTTAAATTTATATATTTATAAAATATATATATATATTTGTTTGCATTGAGTTACCAAAAAGGAGAGGAGCCATTATAGGTGGGAGGCTCTCTATTCACATACCATTGCCAGAAAGCAATCACATGACTTCTAAGGGATGCTGGGAAATGTAGCCTCGCTGTGCCAAGTAGTACCCAGGAAAGAAGAGAAAGCTTGGAGTGAGCTTGAGGTGAGCCTCCACATGAGTTTTATTTAAAAAGATTTGGCATGCTTATAGCAAAAGGCAATATTTAAAGTCCACTAGAAGACAACCATGAGAATAACAATGATTTCCCGAGTTCTTTCTCTAGAGCAGCACTAGCTTCAGCATGTACTGCCTCATTTTAAAAAAACTTGCAATACAGATATTATCTGGGTTATTTTTTTCCACCTTAAAAGTCCTGAAGCTCAGAATGAGAAACAATTTGTTTGCGGTCACATAGGAGAGTGAGTCACATTTGTGACTCAGCTGTCATCTCACCTTTCCTAAAGCGTAACTTTCACAACAGCTTCTCTGCAACACGGTGAACCTGGGAAGAGCTTGGCAGCACATCTGGATAACCCCCTCACTTTACAGTTGCGAAAATTGAGGACACAGAAGAAAGGTGCACGGTTGGCAGTGCCACTCTGAGCTTTTTCAACCCAGCGTCAAGTTCAAAGCGGCTGTGATTGTATAGTTTGTGTAGTTTGTGTAGTCTGAAGTTATGCTAAGAGTTCATTTTTGAGTGGTAAGTACGTCTAACCATGCTTGTCGTGGCTGGGTTTTGTCCACCTGACACAAACACAGATCTATCTGAGAGGAGGGGATCTTAATTGTGGAAACGCCTCTGTGAAACTGGCCTGTAGCTAAGTTCCTGGGGCATTTCTTAATTAGTAACTGATATGAAAGGGCCCAGGCCATTGAGGATAGCGCCACCCCTGGGCAGGTGTCCCTGAGGTGCATAAGAAAGCAGGCTGAGCAAGCCATGAGGAACAGGCCAGGAAGCGGTGTTTCTTTCTGGCCTCTGCTTCAGTTTCTGCCCAGGTTCTGTGACTTCCATGGATGATGGATTACAAACTGTAAGCTGAAATAAACTCTTTGCTCCCCAAGCTGCTCTTGGTCACAGTGCTTTATGGTCACAACAGAAACCCTCACTAACGTAATGCTGGACAATGGACAGGTGTCTCTTAGTTTCCTTCTCTGCTATATTCTTAATATAAACCACATTTAATAAACTGCGGAACAGTCCTACTAGCACTCTGAATTTGGGAGACTAAGATAGAGGGATTAGCTGACTTTAAAGCCAGCCTGGTGTATATAAAGACACAGAGATGGGGGTGGAAGGAGACAGGTATTCTGGAATGGCTGAGAAGATGTGTGAAATGTTCTCTAGTTCCCAGGCTCGCTGGCCAGGCTCTCGTCTGTCTAGACTCTGAACCTGTGTGTTCCAACATGGCAGTGAGCTTGGGCTTGGCTTTAGATGGGCTCTAAGAAACCAAGGTCAAGGGGCTTGGTTCTTGAAGATTCTTCCAGTTTTCCTCAGGGGGGTGGCTTTTTTATGCTCCATTTTCACCACTCTGCCCTCCATCACAGCATGGAATATAAGGTACTGCCTTCTGATATTGCTCTGCTTTTAAGTGATTTTTAAGAGGATTTGTCCCAAGCAAAGCAGAGGTACATGCATAAATATGAGTCTCTTACTCTGCTATAAGTGAAATGGCCCTTTTATACTTCAGCCTGCTTCTCATGTAATTTGATCAACTTTATATCATTTGTAAAAATGACAGCTCATTTGTTTACCTGTTTTGTTTTGTTTTGTTTTGTTTTGTTTTTCGGCTCCGTCCTTAAGCTTTTCTACCTTATCAGGACTATGAAGCTCTTCTTTCTGCATTTTGCATAAACACAACACATCTAAGCGGAGATACTACAAGGAAGAGAGCCCTGGCACAGTCTCTGTCCTGGGTTCCTTGCTTTTTCAATCCTGAAGTCATTTTTTAACCTGACTTAAAGTAAAGCAGGTTTTCAAGGCTTTGAGAAATGCTATTAATTCTGTAAATTAGCCCTGACTCACCTGTTTTGTCAATTAATCCACTGGCACTGAGCTCATTTGGATTCTGTTCAGACTTGGAAGCCCTTTGCTGCAGACAGAGAGGATGCTCACTGCCGGAATGACAGCGGGCTGGGCTTTATTAGCTCGCTAGGCAATGTTTTCTGAGTGAGTGTATACCGTGCGAAAAGCCCCAATTTTGATAATGGATGTGCCTCTCTGAGCTTTTAATTCCATGTTTAATTGGGCACAAAATTCAGGCGCTCAGATTTCGTGGAGGTGCCGGGCAGAATAATCAAACCCACTGTGTGATGAGTGGAGTGGAGCCGGGAGTCCAACTTTGACTCAACGGCACCAAGGAAGCCCCCAACCAAAGTCTATTGGTTTAAAGCATGTTTTAATGAACAGAAAATTATGAGAAATTGTCTTGATTGGGCTAAGTGCCTCACTGACAAGGAATATTGTTAGAAAAAAACCAAAAAGTTAACACAGGCTCCCTAACTCCAGTGTGCAGAAAGCTGGAATCTTCCAAGCCACCGAAGACAGATGGATAGTGACTTCCTCCCTTTTTCTGAGCAGTGTCTGGACCACTCTCTTGGGCAGTACAAAGTCTTCCTGAAAAAACAACAGAAACAGGAAACAGTCAGTGTGTAGAGTTACGGATGGCAATTGGATCCATAATCTTTAAATTATTTACCAGAAGCCATCAGTTGGGAACCAACACTGTCTTGACTTGTTAGTCTCTTTAACCATTGTGATTTTCTTGCCTTTATCTCTGAGTTCTTTCCTTACTAAGTAAGGTGAGTGCTGAGACATCCCTACTTCCCAGCGGACACTCTGAAGCAGAAATGCTTTCAGTACCATTTTGGCTCTGAAGGTTATAATTCTATCTGCAGCATCTTTTTTGTTTCTGTTTTTGTTTTTGTTTTTGGTTAGGGAATATATACACATATATGAGGGTTTCTAATATGTACTAGGAACAAAATATATATTACAGTTGTATTACTTTCACTGTTTTCTCTTTTTAAATCTATGACTTTTTAGATAGGTGTTTTTTGTCTGCCTTTTCATGCATTATTAAATTGCTGACTGAGTTAATTTTAGTGAGAGGACGGATCTCTAGTCTATTTGTTATTTGAGAGTTGAGACTGTGCTGAAGTATTCCACTCACATTTCAAAAGGAAAGCTTATTTCTACATGGTGAGGTGTCTGTGTGCCTCTTAAAGCATGCATGCTTATTGGTTTCCCTAAAACAATTTTGTTGTATTACCCTGAACACTTTTCAGTCCACATTGAGCCCTTTGCTTTGAGAGAGTTGGGTTACACTGTGCTTGCTCATTCATTGACCCATGCCTTCTTCATCAGGCTTTGCCTTATATATGTCAGGGTGGAGTTGTTAGGATCATGGCTCTAAGAAGATTCGGACATATGATGATAGATGTTTATGGAGGAGGTAAGATGTGGTATGCTGGCACACTTACACACTGTGTGATGCTCTAATCCAGCTAAGCTTTCCCTGTGGCTTGTTTTAATGTCTGCCAAAAGCTCATGTGTTCCTTAGTTTGGCACTACTGGGAGAAGGTAAAAACTTGAAGAGTGGGCCTTAGGCAGAGGTCTTTGAAGAAGCACAGTGAGATGCCACCCATTTCCTTTTCTCTCCTTTTTCTTCCTGGCTGTAGGGTGAACAGTTTTGCTCCATCACAGTCTCCCCACCACCGTGTGGTGCCCCAAAACAGCAGCGCTGAAAGATCCCAACTAAAACCCCTAAACCTTGGGCCAAAATAACCCATCTCCACTTCTCTTTCTTTCTGCCAGCAATAACTTATGTACATATCACTCCCTCCCAGTGTGAACAAAACCCAGTAAAAATAAAATAAAATAAACCATAAAACACCAGGAGCCTGGAGACTGGGCTGGTGCGCACTTGGGAGCAAGGTGGTGCACACCTTGAACACCAGCACTCAAGAGGCAGAAGCAGGCAGATGTCTGTGAGGCCAGTATAGTCTATATAATGAGTTGTGGGTGTACCGTGACCAGCCACCTCCAGGTCCTGCCACCACAACTCCTCCCCCTACCCCGGTGACAGACGGGACCCTCAAACTGTAAGCCAACAAAACCCTTCCCTCCGGAGTTGCTCTGCCAGGTGTGTGATCATCTCAGCAACAAGGCCACGACTAGTAGTCTGACCAGCAAGTGCATCTGTTGACATATTTATCCTTCCCACATCCTTTCTCTTGACCTGCAACACGCACACACACATGCAAGTACCCATGCACACACAACATAACTCTAGTTATCAATAGTCACCTTTCTGTATAACAGATCACTGGAGCTTATTTCTTCTTCATAATGCTAACTTAGTATCTACCAACAACCTTCTCCTGTCTTTCCCTCCTCTATCCTCAGTATATGATTATATTTTTATCATACAGGCATTTCCTTCATAAAAAATCTTTTATGCCTTTTCCATAATGACATTTTCACTCTAAATTCTTTTTGTTCCTACTATGAAAATTGCCAGTTTTCTTCAACTCTTTCTAAATACTTGTTTTCATTGCCTTATTAATAACGTGTATCCATATGTCTGTGACGAGCGCAGCGAACACGAGTGCAGTTGCCCACAGAGGCCAGAAGAGGGCATCTGACACACAGGAGCTGAAGCCAGAGGTGGTTTTAAACCACCCACTGTGGTGCTGGGAACTGAATTCCAGTCCTCTGAAAGAGCAGTGTGAGCACTTACCTGCTGAACCATTTCACCACATCCTCCTTTGCCTCATTATTCATTTATTCGTTCATTCATGGGTTTTTGACACAGTGTTTTCTGTGTAACAGCCCTGGCTGTCCTGGAACTTGCTTTATAGACCAGGCTGGCCTCACACTCACAAAGATCCACCTGCCTCTGCCTCCTGAGTATGGGTTTTGGATGTGTGCACCACCACACCCAGTTGCTTCATCATTTTTTTAAAATCTCAATCTTTTATTTTTAATCTTTTTTATGTCACTTTGGGATTAAACTCATCTGACTTATTTTCTTTTTCAAAATTCACAGAGGAAGTTAGGAACTTAGCCTGAATTTAAAAAAAAAAAAAAAAGAAAAAGAAAACCTGTCCATTGCTGGGTTCTTCAAACACCTGGAGTAATCTGAGAATCTATAGGAGCTGCAGAGACAAATCGGTTCCCTTCTTTCTTTGCCCATCTGGACGTGGAAGTTGTGAATGCCTGGAGCTTCTGACTCGCTCACCTCTTCTCTTCTGGAGAAATCTTGGACCACAGTTCTACATATCACTTCCCCAGTCTGAAGGCAATAATGGTGTAACAGCTCCGCACGCCCTTCAGGAAGTAAAATGTTTAGATGAGAAAAACCTCCCTAAAAGCATTTGTGAGAGATGACTGAGTGTTTTTTATCAGCGGCGATAGGGACTTTTCCCCATAAATATATGGCATTCAATAACACAATCTCCTTTCCCAGCTACATGCACGTGTCCTTCAAAGCACTCTTCCTCCAACCATGTGACCATTCAGCAGAGAAAAATCAGCCCGTTTACATAACAGCTGTTAGTGTGAGCGATGACATATTACTTCAGGGCCTTCCGTCTATAATGGGTTTTTCAAATGTGTTGCCATGTTCAGTTGATTAGTTGTGGGTGATCTGAAATGTCAAACTATTAGCCTTGACAACTACTGCCAAGGTTACTATCTTTGGAAAATATCTTTTTAATAATATAACTGTTTGTAAGTGGAAAGAGTGATGCTCAAAATACAAAGTCACAGTAAGTGTGGATTACCAAGCCACCGATGGCCTCAGTTCCTCATTCCCCTGGGTCTCAGGGCTTCTTTTTAATGAGCAAGCTCCACCACGGGACCTCTAGGCTTTTCTAAAATATACATATGGATTTGGGGAATGGAATCTAGAAGTAGGGAGGAGAGGAGGCAAAAACCTTCAGTGGAAGATTCTGGCACCCGCCTCCCACCTATGGCTAAAATGTCATGATTAAAATTTTATCTCAAAAACTACCCAGGGATGAGGGTTCCGAATCAGGCTTTGGAATGGGGGAGTTTTAAAATTTAAGTCTGCAGATGTCCGCCATTGAGATGTATGGAATAACATTGGTCTTTGGCCCCTCGCACTCCATTTCTTCATGGTCTCTCACGCCCATTGCTCTTCCAAAGAGCACACTGTCTAGAACACAGTCTCCTGGCTGCTCCTTACCGTGGTCAGTGCATCCTTTCCTCTTTTCCATTCACAGTCCCCATAAGCATGGTAGCCGTACAACCTAGCCTCAAACTAGGACATGCTCGAGAGTGGAAGGGACATATGAATTATATCGGACAGGTCAGCCTGGGGTGCTTCTGGACACGGGGTGTGTGGCCACCCTGCCAGGAAAGGTCATATTGTCAGGTCTTTGCCCCGCCTGTAAATAGTTTCTAATATGGGCTTCCTGGAAGCCAGACCTGAGCTTGGGGGTTTGCTGGAACAGGAAAGGTAGTAAGCAAAACATCACCTGTGTATTATCGTCGAAATGACACTGACTCTCACAATCAAAGAAACCCACCGCTGGGCTGACCTGCAAACACCTGCTACCACTCCAAAAACCTCCCCAACCTGAACAGACCCCCCCAGCTGAGGCTTCAGCAGAAGGGAGAAAGACCCATTGCCAGGGATGTTTTCCTTGTGTTGCTTTTCACAATCAAGCCAGCTGACCTCATCCATGGACAGCTATAGCATCCAATGGGCAAAGTGAAGAAAGGATTTACACACGAGGTGTTAGAGTGCTGGCAGGTGGGTCTTTTCAGAACCATCATCCAGAGTGGGGATGCTGCTACCTAACCCTAACCCAAAGTCAGACTGAGAATGGCAATCTTAGGTACGGCCAGGCTGCTGGGGGAGACGGGGCGGGCAGGGCTTTTTCCATTAGGGTTTAAAGGACCCTACAAGCCACAGGCAGCTCATGTGGCCGATACCTGAGGACACACACAGCAGTCTCTGCTTCAGTGGGACTCTGACCTCGCAGATCTGTCCTTCCCCCATTCTACCCTCAGAAATATATGGGTGTCCAAGAAGCTGACTCTGGCTCTGCTTTCCTTCTGTACATGGAAAATGAAAATTTTGAAATGTTGTTTGATCATCTCAACACACACACACACACACACACACACACAAATGCTTAATAAAAACTGTAGTGAACATAGACTTTGAAGTCTACTGTAGATTCTTAGCTAGGATAGAGGTGTCAGCAGAGGGTTGAAAATACTGAGCTGCTCTGAGTGAAGGATTCTGAACGAGTGATGTTGTTATTTGTGGAGGTTGTAGTCCTCTGTCATTGAGGACAGCCTTGGGATGGATGATGCCTCTGAGGTGGGGTGAAGCACACAGACTGACAAGGGAACCAGGACTTGAAATAGCAAGATGTCTGCGTGTTTATTAGTACATTAAAACGCAGGGCCCAGTGGGGTCTAATAGCCCTGGATTTAGTGACTTCAGATAATGACATCTCTGCAACAGAGACTGATGTGAAAATACCTGATTTCTATTGGTAGCAAAGTCACAGGTCCTGTTGGTATTATTGTGGTTTAATGTCTGCGTGCATAATTAAAGAAGATGTCAAAGTTCAGTCGGAGGCTTGTTAAAGTAATAAAATAATTTGCTTTTTATCTAAGGTTACAGGCCCCTGAATTCCAATCATTGACTTCTTAGAACCTCAGATTAACAACAAATACCATTCTTGCAAGCCACAGCCTCGCTATGTCTGCAGCCTGCCTGGTTATACACAAAGGCACAACCTACCTGCTGTTTGCCTGCACAAGCCTAAACCCTTCACAGAGACTGCTTTGGAAGCCCTACCCCCCAAGCCTTCATCCCTAACCAATGACCAAAATCACCTTCTCTGATAACACTTCTGTATACATACCAGCTTCTCCTGTTGCAAAGAAACTTTGTTCAGATATGTAATTCCTGCTGAAAAAAGTTGAACATAGAAGCTTCTAAAACCCTCAACTGTAGATCAGAAACTGCATAGATGAGTCTTCTTAGCAATTCAGTTTCTGGTTTAAAAAGAGGAAGAAGAAAAGAAAGAAAGAAAGAAAGAAAGAAAGAAAGAAAGAAAGAAAGAAA